GTAGGGCTATTCGTAGCTGCAAGATTTCTCAGTAACGAAACATTGTACAGAGCTCGAGCTGGTCTTAAGCTGACGAAAACACAGGTGGCTAGAGGCTAACAGAACCGGATTTTTAATATATTTCAAACAAAGTAAAATGTTGAATTGAGAATAAAAATGTCAGGAATTTCATGGTGGACAATCTTGATGTCACACGCATTTCTATGTGCAATACGAATCTCGATCTTCCTTATTCGTGTTGAACCCTTTGACAGATGTTTTAACTCTGCCTGCTGGAATAAATTGATTTCTTTTATTTCAAACATCGAAAGACGCTGAATGGGACGTTGTCTAAAAACAGCCAAGTCATATATAAGGACCTGTATATTATTGGATAAGATACTTACTATTCCATCCATCCTAGTCGAGACAAGTAGCTTACTGTTTGAAGAAAATTCTTTGTGTTCTGTCTAATGTGACTATCAAGTTTTGGAAGACACATTTTGCTTAGCACACAGGAAGTAAAGGAAGCTTTTTATCGTAACAAGAAGTTAACAGAAATTTCATATGAATCGAAATTGAAAAGTCATAACTCAGTTGACACTAATCCGTGCATGCCTAATCCCCATCGGGATACGCTTCCTCACGTTTTTATGAAGGTAAATGATATTACGGTTAAAAAGCTGGAATCCAGTGTATTGTGGAACCCAATATTCTTGAGTGACCAATATTATTGGTCCCCTTGATTGGGTATACAATAATATCGGGATACAATATTATTGGATAGTCAATAATATTGTACAGTATCTTCAATAATGATTGGTATTGGTGCATGCCTAGCCATGTGATATTTGGCCAATTCCAAGCTAGGAGAAACAGGTTTTTAGTTACATGTTTCGAAAATTATACCTACTTAAAATATGACGTACCCGTTTGCTTTTTGAGTAGCGTTGCATCGAAGACAGATATAGTGGCCTGCGTTTTTTGCTTTTTTGATAGCCAAGATCAGGGAACACGTTTCTGTAGAAAAAGAAGTTTAAAACACTTTTTCGTCAAGTAGGATTTCGAAAGAGTATTAAAACTATTTTATTTATGTAAGAAAGCTTTCTGTAGGTTCATTTCAAACAATAAAAGCACCGTTACTATAAATGTCTACGTGTCCGAAGCTTAAACTGTTTACATATATCTTTTCGGAAAACTAAGTTTATTATCAGAAAATAAAAAGAACAATAACAGTTTAGATAGTAGAAATTGATATAAATGCTATTGTTAGCGAGTTTTTTTGTTGTTGATGAGTATAATAGTTTAGATGCGTATGTATTGATCGGAACACTATTGCTTCATATTGTCGTGGATAATCATACCATCAGGTACTTGTTGTTAGTTTTTCTATTAGTGTATTCGTCATCATCATCACTGGGTAATAACGTCCTGTCATTGTAGCATACTGAGGATAATATTATGCTGGCGTATTCGAGTTTCACTCATGAGATTCTGACCTGGTTCTTCGTGTGTTTTAGTTTACTGAGAAAGGAGAAACTCCCTATAATCATCATCATATTTCCTAAACACCCATGATAATCTTATCAGATCGAGTGCTGTAATAACACAACATCTATCATAGATCAAATAGAACTCATCTCTGTTACAGAATTTGATTATGGTGGAATGGATTACGATAAACGATAAAATTTTATTGCGGTTATCCAAAACACAAGTTCTTATAGAATGTGAAGCGTATTCTGCATGAAGCATTTTTCTGCTCAATTTGAGATGAATTTGAAAGTTTCTAAGACACTTTTCTTACTAGTATTCACATGCAGAAAAACGTATGTGGAGTTGATTCTTGTATTAAATATTTATAAAAAAAGAACAATACAGTTACACTGATCAGAACATACGTTGTTTATATGTTCATTTGAAAATAATTTTGAAAAAAATTTGAAATTGTTCTCTTAATAAACTGTTGTAATTTTCGTAGTTCGCCATTTTTGGATGCTTTCGATTATCCTGTCATGCTCAACGTAATCCATAAGTCACATCAATCACTTTACCAAAATCTATTATTGTTCACTTTGACTCCATTTGCCGTCAAGATGTCTTAAAAACACTTCTCTTTATTGGTTCGATTGATAAACGTTCCATACTAGATTCAAGTAGTTCATCATCTGATATTTTTCGTTTTTTAATAATACGTTTTATGAAACAGCGTGATTTACCACATCTTGATTTCAATAATTCTTCTAACTCAGAATTTTGATTAAATAAAGCTACGTCTAATGGGCTAGGACGTTTTTCATCTCCACCATTAGCATCAGCTGCACACTCGATCAACAAAAATTCAGCTAGACTTTTATTGTTTTGTGCAACAACATAATGTAATGGTGTATCACCATGGATATCCTGAATGACGAAGGTAAATATGTTCAATTATAACTAAATTTCAAGCAGTAATGTAAAGGACAATCTCTTTGTCGCTCGGTTATTGTCTGCCTTGTATGCACTCTGTCTCTCTACTTTCTCTCTATTGTCTCTCATCTTCTACTCTCTTCTCTGGCTCTATATATTGTTCGAATTAAACGTATAGATGTCATTAGAAAGTGAAGATAATTAAACGACTCCATGATCAAACAAAAGCACAGGTTGACAGACAAGTAACATAAGGTTGTCATGTGCAGTATCTCTTTCTATCTTACTTAATGTCATAAACTCCGAAACATATGGTAATATTATCACTTACTGTTCTATCCACATTCTCAATTGATCGTTGTTCTTGGAGGTACTTTACGCATTTGTATGCTCCTTTGTAACAAGCCTGCATGAATACATTCCTTCCTGAAAAAATAGTTCATTATTATTTTAAAACTATTACTTTTTATTTATAACCGCTTTTTTTGTGTGATACATTATCGACTTTAAGTGTCCTATCAAAAATACTTACCAAAAATATCTGTTATTGCTAATGCCTTATGACAATTTATACAGATTTCATTTTGTTGTATCGTTGAGAGATTTTTTATGTTGGAATGAAATCTGGTCGTTAGTGCCTTCAACATTTCTAAATCATCTTTCTCAGCAGCATAGTGTGCTGGTATATAACCATCTTGATCCCGAGTACATGGATCGGCTCTTCTCATGAGTAATAAACGAATCCATATGTAAGGAAACGAATGGATGACAGCAACATGTAAAACACTCTAAATAAATTGATTAGTAGTAGAGAAAACATCTTAAGTGGCATAAATATACCTGTCCTTTTCCATTTTTCATTTTTATAACTTCTTCATGATTTAGTTCTAATATTTTACGAAATCATGAAAACAACCGTGTTCCATGTAATAAAAGACTTTTAATACATCCACTGTTATCACAAGAATATTACCGACTAAACTAGCATTATATGAGCTGTTATTTTCCTCATCATCTTTATTGCATGTTGGCCTGTAAGTGGGAGGCTTTAGAGTTTGTTTGTGATAAATATCTGCTGGTGTAATTGAACTATTATCAAGACCACGAGAAAGTGATAGTAGAAAATTTTGTTTATCTCGAAGAACAATCGCCGGTTGTATTGAATTACTTTCAAGACCGAGAAAGCACGAAAGATCGGCTGTTTTCTGCTTCTTATTTGAATCCATCATTTTCTCTCCTTCGCCTGTGAACTAAAACATAAATTCTTATTAATGAGAACTTTACTTAAATAGCAATTATCAGCTATAATTTGTTTATTCTGATTAGTCATGTCAATTTTACTATATAACTGTATTATTATCTGTATTATTATTATAGATTATTAACTGTATCAATAGTCTATTGGACAGAGCTCGTCGAGTTGATTAAGAAAATGTATTTTTTAGTATTTTAAACGAATTTTCTAATGGCGAAAAATTGAAACGACTTGTCCAAAACTTAAAAAATCTTTGGCTTTTTATTCCGCATTAAGAACTGAATATAGTGTTTAATCAGTTTTGAAGTTAAAGACCTCTCCCGTATGGCTGTTTCGAACGCATCCCCTCAGGTATTGATGTGCAATTTTTCAAACCCATCTAATCTTTTATGTGGGGAGATCAGTTCAGCTTTTGGACTTTCAGATGCGCTGAGACCTCGACTTTGGAAATACATCTCGCTTTCCTCGAAACTTTGTTTTGTTGCTGAAACAATTCATTTTTTTAAATCAGAGACAAAAAGTTGAAATTCTGCTCGTAATTCTCAATTTTCTCCATCCGAACTCAACTTTTAATCAATAAAAATATCATATTCTTAGTCAGGATCTAAAAGTGAGTTAACTGATACGCATTTCTATCCTGTCCGATCACGTAAATTTTTTCTGAGCAAGATAATATCAGGAAGCCGACAAAACGTTAGGATATACACTTTGCGTTATCTCCTGCAAAACTGGGAAATTTCAAAGAAAATCTGAAAGAGCGATCTGATCTCCTTAATTAAAATGTATCTATCATTTCCGGTGATCGCGCTAAGTATTTCCAACGATTCTCCTTTACAATTTATCACCGGGCAATAAAGTCTTTACTGTACGATAGACAACAGAATTGTCTAGACTCAAACAACTTGGTTTTCCGTTGTATCCTTCGAAAAATGCAAAAATTATGGCATCCTTAGAAGAATTTTTGACTTAACATTTCTCTGTAAGCTCAAAATCCAGAGTATTCGAAAATTCGGCGATGTCATGAAGCAAGGTGTTTTCTTATAAGTTAATAAGAATCATTTCCACCCGTTCAGCTATAAGGCAGTTTGCGAAAAATTTGAACGTGAAGTTTTATGTTATATATCTGTTTTTCATAGTCTGGGATAAGAGTGAGATATAAGTCTGAATTTGTGTTACAAAGATACTTCATTATATGATAACATTTTATGAGTACTTCATTGCTTGAAGCAAAGAACTTTTTTTGACTGGGGCAGGATGATCTAAAACAATCATATCGCGACTTCTTTTCATTCGTATAAAAATACTGACTCACCTGTGTATGCCCTGAAGAGAACGAAAAAACTAGCTTTCAAGTGATAGAAAAATGGAGACAGACAAAAAGCAAAAAAGTCAATGTATTTTTCTTTCCTGCGTACACCACATACTTTCGCGTCTACAAGAATCAGTCTGATGTCGGCACTGACGTCTGAAGCCAAAAGAAACTATGTTTGATTCTAAATCAGCTGCAGTTACGAAAGTAAAGCTGTTAACAAGAAATATTGATGATATTTCGTTTCTGTAACCCACCTTTTCAACTAACTGTGCAAGAATATAACACGATTTTCTAATGCTTTATTATGAATAAGCCAAACAATAATATTATTACTGGTTTTATGTGGAAAACATTGCATTATATATAGAAAAGAACAAGAAATAAAGATTACTGTTATTTAGTTGGCTGTACTATACCTGATGTTTACTTTCTATTTAATTTTGGGGAAGTACAACTGATTGCCTGTCAAACGAAAACGATCCCGAGACCAATAGCTGCATCTGTGTTGTAGAAACTTATTACGTGGATCAAAAACGGTACATTCTCAGGAAATACACCGAAAAAGGATGTTGACTGTGCAAGCATCTTAATAAAATTACTTAAAAGTGATAACAGGCGTTCAAAGAAAGATATCATTAAAAATGTGTAGCCTTGGTATGAGTTTGCTGCCGGTGGCTTTCACGATGCAGCAATCATCAGGTCGATCCAGTATAGTGCATACAAGATTGGACATCGAGCTTCATACGAGGCTAGATTAGCAACGAACTAATATTGACATCAGTATATACATTTTTGAAAGTCCTCTCGTGAATGCTTTCTTCCTCCCGTGAGTACTTTCGTCATGTAACAGAGAAACGTGGCCTTATCGGTAACAGACAATCAGAAGACTTCAAACTATCTTACTCTTATACTGAAATCATGTATGACATACATCTAGTGTTACGTAGTGTTAAACGTAACTTGTATCCTTCCTTGTGTTAGTGTCAACAGTGAATTATGTTTTTATGTTTTATTACCAAAAGCTTGTTCAGATATAATATAAACTAATACGAGTGAGTAGTATTATTGTAAATTGGATTCCCGACTTGTTAGCATCCCACTTTTCTGATGTGTATGACCACTGTCTATTTACAAAGAAAAGAGTCTGTTTTAACAAAGCAACCGATCTATTTATATACGCAATATTGCGCAATCATCTTGAATAACATCGTGAATTGTGGTGCAATAACCATGACCATGTTCTTGCGCAATTACAAATAGGTTTTTTCGAAAGAAGGAACAGAAACTGATGTAAGAACAAAATTGACGTAATAAAGTGTACATGCAATAGGGGAATAGTGATGAAACATATTCACATCAGCAAACGAGGACATTACCTCAGAAATGAGAATTTCAAAGTTCCTGAATGACATTTTCTGCGGTTTCTAACACTAAAATCAAAAGTGAAAAATATCCGGCGATGAATTCACGTAAGGCCCTATAGAAACACTCTAACTGAGCCGTCGGGCCGTTGTAGAGAAACGAGATAATCGTCACCCCTATGATCTAAAACCTTTATACATTTAACAGGAATCCAATCTTTTTCAATAAATTTTCGACGGTTGCGGTGGCTAGAGGCTAAGAGAGCCCGATTTTTGATATTCAGTATGAATTTGTGGTTAGGAAAACATGTTTGTGCAAGTTAATAAGACTTTCCTGAATCTTGGAGCTTTGTCGCTGACCATAGCTTGAACAGTGAAATATCAAAATTCAGCCTCTGTTCACATGTGTTTTTGTCATTTTGAAACCATTCCAATCTCTACCCACCCCTGGCGGCGTATATACGAACCAAAATCAAGTTGAAGAGACGCACTAATAAATGAGTTTCGTTCTGGTGATGATAGGTGGCATTCCTTAGAGGAAAAGTGAGAGCGTAAGCAATAATTGTGCGGAATAATCATCTTCGAGTTTTGCTTAGTCTTACCCGTTTGTTGAACTGAAAATTTCGTTGTATGAGGGAAAAAAAACAGATAAATTATGTCTAAATACTTTCCGTATAAAGAACAGCAACCGATGATGTCAAAGTTCAACATTAACTTCTATGTGTGGGCGTTTTGATGTTTCTGTATAGTTTTAACTTCACATAAATCATATGACTGCTTTCGGGTAAGATCATTATTGATAACATGGCATTCTATTTCGATTAAAAAGAGTTTTATTCCTCGTACTCTTATTGCAATATACTTTTCCGATTTACAGTCCATCTTGTAATTATTAGTTAAGAATTTAAGGCTTGTTAGAGCTAAAATCAATTAGCTAATATTGCCCTTCTAGCAATGCCATTCTGAACGAATGCAGGGATATGTCCACCAAATATTGAAGTGCTGAGTTAATTTTGAATCTTGTGTTAGCTTATTTAGAAGATAGTATCTCTTTAGCGATAAATAAGCTGTAGGATCATACTATAATATTCTGAATATCTGACATTTCACATAAATTTGACAAAAAAATAAAACCTATTTAAATGACAGTTAAAATAAAACACGAGTAAGATGAACGGAAATGAAATAGAGCGCCGAATTCAATGTGTACTCTTATTAATTAATATTAATCCTTAATACGAAATTAAATGCATGGATTATTTCGTGATCACATCGAAATTATATCATTACCTTTTCGACTGTATCCAAACCCTAGAGATCCAATCTTATAAAAGATTCTTGTACTTTTTTTGTAAGAATCTTATGAAAATCTTACGTCACAATTGATAGAAATGGATACTGTGGTTATAAGATTCTTATGTAAGAAATTTATAAGATTCCTACAAAAAATTAATCCGATTCCTATAGCCAAAGGAAAAAGAAAAACGAAAAAGCTTTTTCTTGTTGTTCGGAAGACGACAATTCAAAGGTTTGAACTTCGAAATTTTTTTATAAGGCACTATAAGGTTATAAGAATCTTATAAAAAAGTTATAAACTAAAATCTTACCAAAATCTTACTAAAATCTTATTCAATTCTGAAAAGATTCTATATTGCACATTAAACGAATCTTATAATTGCAGTATGCATTTCTAAAGACTGTAGTATATAAGATTTAATTTTGGTCGACTGGGAAAGTGTCAGTTTTATATTTTGCTGCAGCAGATACCAGATAATTCAAATACTAGTCGTCATCCTAATCAGGGTTGTCCTTAGGGATGGGACACAGTAGGCATTCAGGTGGAAATTTAGAAAAAAACAGTAAGCTTGCTTTTTCGTAATTTAAATAGTGTTTCATATACTTCGAGTGACGGCCGATTTAATGGTGAAAGAAT